CACCATTCTTTTACGGATAATTTATACCTCAGCGAGTGTTAAATTGTTGTAGTTCTGACCTGGGTCTATTTAGAAGGTGTTTCCTATTACGATAGTTCAGGTTTGGTTAAAAATACACCCAAAAACGCCTCTTCTTTTCTTTTACGTAGAATGCTTTGACCTCTGTTTAAAGGTGTGTCTGCTGTATTTATTTCACACGAAAAATCAAGAAAATTGATATATTAATCGTCTATATTTAGTAGATTTATACATCTAAAGTAGTATTTTTCTATATACTGTATACATACTACACACGACACGTTTATATTTTATGTATCGGTAAACAAATTATTCATTGATTTATCTTTTTTGCGCTATACTCATTGCATCGTAAAGATATCGATAACGGTTACGACGACATTTTCTGTATAAGTTTCACGTATAATTTACTAGAAGTCTCTGAGGTCGAGAAGAGAATTTTCCTGCATGCAAATTTGTCATTTATAAACAGGCACGTATTAAACTTTGCTAGAGTTTAGTAGTTCAGCTGCAAAGTATGCCTAAGGCCTCGTTGCCGAAGATTAAGCCATTAAAATTTCCGTTAAACTGTAAGGTTCCGGAAATCCAAGGTTTCGAAAGTTAAGTTTCCGACAATAATACAAAGGTGCATATTCCTTCCCATTTGTCGATTTATTAACTACTTGCCCCGAATTTATGTGGCATGGGTAGAAGTTCCAATTACAGAACGAAACTTCGGTAATTGAAATAATTGAAAGAACAATAACAATTCTATTATAGAAAGTAATTTGATGTGTCATTCATATCGATATCGTTCTCGATCTAAAGTAACAATGGCGCTTTGAAGCTAGAAAGCCAAAACACGGGAGTTCCTTTGTCAACAACACAGGGTTTCGATGTTTCGGAAGTAGGTCATCCGTTGTTCACCGGATACCGGAAGTGCAGTTGATCGTCTTCGTTCGTCGGAAGTTCACTAGACGCGTTAACAAAACTATATTATAAAATAGCAATTCATTTTTTTAAATAAATATTTTAATATAAAGCGTGTCTTCTGATGAATTTCTTAATTACTACTTTAATAAACGTTAATTTAAGATTTAAAACAGTTAAAAACGATATTCGATCGTCTAAGTTCGTCGACCTCAACCGAGGCAAAAGAAATGGTGTCACAAAGTACAATTCAAACAGCACCTACAATACAACCACTTTGTTGATTTTCACGATTCTTTGGCCTTTAAACAGTAGCCCGAAGGCTTCTGTTACAGGTTTTGTGAGTCTCAAAAGCACCCAATTCGATTAGTTCGTTCCCTAGGCATAGTAACAACTGGAGGGGATGCGAATTCCTTCGAAACTCGACTATGGCAACGAGTAGCAGTACGGGTGAAGGGACATAACGGAAAAGATATAAACGATACCTGGCCTAGAGGTGAAGAGGTCGCGCAAAGCATCGGTCACCCGTGCTCTATACACATCTCCTGTTTATACGCGTGATTGGTTTACAATCACGCCATATCTGTTCGTTCCTCTAATGAAATCCTTTCTATAATGAAAACCGAACCCCGCTGTTTGTGGTATTTTGCTCTTCATTAACTTACCAACTCTGGTCGAAATTTGAATATTATTAAGAACATCGAGGATGTTTACGTGTTTAAAGTTATCTACATTAGTTAATTAAGAAATTGGAAATTACTTTTTAAATCAAAGAGGAAGCCGTAGATCGCCTCGGGAAAGACTACAACGTACTGTACGTATCCAATAAAAAAATAAACGTGAGCTCATAACTTTAGTAATTCAATTATTACAAAATTTACTCGAATAAATTACACACGGAAAAATACGTTCTCGGCTCTAAAAGTTTTGCAATATTTTTATATTCTGACGAAATGAACTAAAACAATAAACGATAGGTCAAAATCGGCTGATTAAGTTTCAGTTCAACAATTTCTTAATAAAAAAGCGGAGGAAATTTCTTGCCACCTTCTTACATGGAGCGGTGCACAACCAAGGACAATTCGCCCACATTGCTTTTGGCACAGCTTAACTCTTGGACGTTCATCCGTTTGGATAAATGACGTTTGGACTTAAGCCAATTATTTTCTTTCGAAATATTCCATATACATTTTCAAAAAAACAATATAATATTTCAGTCAATGTTTATTCGGGTGAATGTATTTTCGGTTTATTTTTATTGTTAAATGCGGACCGACTAAATTCTATTTAAATATATGCTAATAGAAAACTTATATGGTCACAATAGACAAGGCATTGTGAAACGGCGTCAAAGGCACACAATAGGAGAAAACTTTTATATTCTGTCGAATAAATTGCGGCAACTGGAGTTTAAAAAAAGTCTAGTTAAAATATTCAAAATGAATCCGGTATACACAACACGTCCTTTATTTCTTTGAGCCCAAGTTTTAATTCTAAAGCCCAGATCCTGATCCAGCTTTCACAATACACGCTAATATAATAGAAGAGATTTTTCTCTTTATTATAAAAAGCCATAAAAAAGGTCGTTAATGACCGGGTCATAAAAAATACTCCGAGAGAAAATTAATATAAACGTTACTTCGTTCTTTATATTTCGTTTATATAATATAAACGTTATTTAGCTCTTTATCGAGCAATTCTATCGAAAATGAACCGTAAATAAAATAAATACTTTTATATAGTTTAATATAATTTAAATTAGTATCGATTATGAAGTCTGAAAACCATTTTTTTTAATGATTTAAGCGTGGGAAGGTTTTGTTTTAACCGAAGAAGGAAAAAAAACACAATTCGTATATTTGCCCATAAAGCAGGTGGGCCAGTAGGCCGGAAGTCGGAAAGAATTATTTCCGGTGTGTGCACCGGTGCTTTTCCCAATTAAAAGGTGGGGAAGACCATCTGGCGTTGAAGACCATCTGCCGCTCCACCTTCGACTCTCCAAAAACACGTGACATAATATTTACAACATATTCTACGTTTTATCTCGTAAAATATTCAATGAATATATTTTATTTTTCCATTTTATTATATAAAATTATTATTTTTATGGAAAGTAAATGTCTTCTTACGGTAAAGATGACGCATTACCATTAAGCCGAAGAGTTCATGGGCGTCGTCAAGGTCAACGAGAAGATTCTTTTAACTCCTTCCACATCAGATTGTCTTTTAGCATGTGCTCCGAAACGCTTCGTGGCTTGTTTGATAACCTTAGTGAAACGCCTTTAGACGGTGTCTGGATACAAAACTGCAATCTGTGCTCGACGGACTTCTGTCGACAAATATAAATTCGGTGAGCGTTTACGTATGGGTACCTCCGGCAACAAAACAAAAAATAAAATGTGTCAAAAGCATTCATGCTTATTACACCTGTTGCGGATGAGTTTTCTGAATGTGTACCTCCCAAATGAGCGAAATGACCTCAATCGCGTTGTTAGCTTAAGATTCGACCTCATAAATTTGACTAAAAATGTTACAAATTCTCATTTACCTTTTGCAGTGAGATTAAAAGAACCTCTCTACTTCTATCCTTATCCTTATGACACTTTAACGTTTAATCATATCGGAAGAGATAATCTTTCACTTTATTTATACTACTATCGAAATGGTAGGAATATAAATAAAACAAGGGAGATTATCTTTGCGATGAGTTAAAGTGTTAAAATGGCGAACGCCTCCTTGAACTACCTACGGTCAATGTTGTTTGTGGAGTTGGATTTTTATTTAACGACTCCACCCAAATTAGTAATGTTGATTATACAGAATTTTGTAATGTGGTTTACGTAGGGAAATTTCATATTAAACTTATGAAATATAAATCTTTTGAAATTTTTTCTAGAATTAAATCAATTTCATAAAAATACTTAATTGTTCTTGAAAAGTTCGAGTTGTCACGAATAGATCGATTGTAGAGAATTTTTAAATCTTGGGAGTCGCGTAAATTCACACATAATTGCATGCAATTACGCGTGTAATTAACAATATTAATTCTATATTTATAGAATTTTAAATAGAACAAGTTTAAATTTAAGTAATGAATAGTAAAATAATTATTATTCCCTCTTAAAATTTTCAAAGGTAACGAGTGGTATTGTGATTTCTTTAGAGGCTTTTTTTCATTCTCCTTCAATAATTTCTGTCCAATTACTGACATCTGCAATATAATGTGAGATCCGGTTGATGTCTTTTATTTTCTACTGTATCCCCGTATACAGCCTCCCGAGTGTGCGGACGGTTTAAGGGGCCTGTCAAAGGAGATTTCCCCCCTCTTACTTGTTGTTTGTTTCTTACAATCCGAAAACAATGTTGGAGCATTCAGTAAATATTTTGTTTATAGATGTTTTGGCATCTGGCTGTATACAGTAATGGCCATTGGAAGTTTGATAAATCTTAAGCGGCTAGAGAACAAAGAATGAAAAGGGAGAGTGTTAAGCTTCCCAGGTGGTCTACAGACTTGTCCTTGAGAACAGGTGGCCGTGTAGCACGGATGAGAGCTGTTGGGACTAGATCGTGGGAAGACATTTTCTTTTTTTAACTCTTGTCTGAATGAAACTTTCTTAGCTTTTTTTTTATGTTAGTTGATTGACAATAGTAGAACATGGCGGAGGAAACTGCGAGATTTTTCTTGCATATTCAAGTCTTTTGACAGATTTTACTGTTTTGCATCAAGGTTAACGATTCTTATTCCGGTTATGACATTAATAAAAATATTATTCTACAATTTCCTTATAGTGGGCGGTTTTTTAATTTGTTCGACAGAAAAACCATTTAAATCTGGTTTTTATAAACTCTCTAACACGTAAAAGTGCGGTAAAAACTTAAGTTTTGGGAGATTATTCGCATTTAAAAGCGAGTTAAAGGCACATTATGTCAACCGATTTTTGGTAAAGTACAGTACATTAAGAGAATGATCAAAAAAATATTATATTCGTTTAGATTTATTTATTTATTTTACACTTCTATAAAATTTTATATTTAATCTTATTTTCGTTTTAAAAAAACGTCTACATGTAAACTCCTATTTCAAAAATATTATTGGTTTTTTCGCTAACAATAAATACTTAACTCTTTGAAATTATTTATCACAGAATAGGCATAAGGTTGGAAGTTAATCTGATATTTTCGAAACGAATATTTGGAGTGCTTTTGTGTGAGCAAATCGAGCGCCATCTTTAAAACCGTTACAGCACAACAAAGCGTGTTAAAACGAGCCTCTAAACAAGAAGGCAAAGACTAGTCCAGGATCTGCCGCGGGGAGTTTATAAAACAGGTTGATGGTTCTAAAGACACAACACAGCTACTTTAAATTACAGTATTATGTACAAGTTTTATTGATTAAAAAGTCTTTGGTTAGTTCGGTGCAACATATTGGAGGAGTGAGCAACTCTAAAACTGGCCGACGTTAGGAGAGTTGCACCCTCATCGAATTTCTCGAAAAAAAAAATGGAATCGTCTCTCCTAACGTCATTTCGAAACTATCTACTCGGGCATTTCGGTGAGGTAATTAACTAAAATACAGTAGGACATTACATAGAGGATAAGCTATATACAGACCGTTACATCCTACAAACAAAGTCTTTTTCTTCCGAGTATCCGGACTCGTCGGAAATGTTGTCTTCGTATAGATTTTCGTCGATAGAGTTCAGTTTCTTTAGTCTTCTGGGATGTGGAATGTCTTCGGCCGAATCGGAATCGCTCTCGCGACCCGTTGTGACGTAATAATGGTCTGATAGAGAGTCGACGTCGTCCGGGACGATGTCCGACGAAGATTCCACTTCCGATATAACAGAGCCACTGAGTAGATCGTCTTCGTCTTCCAATTCCTCGATCTCTTCGATCGAAGTCAATTTCGGAGCACTTTTAGATCTTTCTAGAGGAGGACGGAAATTAACGCTACCCGTACTTAATAAAATTTTTCTTCTAGGTAAATTAGGCGCGTCGTGACAATAGTTAGCCAAGGATAATCTGGCCTTTTGTTTACTTAGCTTTTCGCGCCTGAATTCTTGGAGTGCCGAACTCAATTTCTGGTTGAGCTGCAGCGCCATGCATCTTGCCTTGTCTTCTTTAGAACATAACGCGGCGTGACACCTTAATTCTTGCTTCATTTTTCTTCCTTCGTGCCTGTATATCCAACACACAACCCGAGGATATTGTGCGGGAGCCACACAATAAGTAATGCGATTCGACCAATATTCGGTCAGCCCGTGCTCTTTAGTCAGCGCTTTCAGTCCCGAATTACAAACGGTCAGTTTCATGGCAATATTGTGCCTAGAATTGGAACAGTAGTTTTTCCATAGAGTAGCTAAAGGCTTGTCGGTACATCCTTCTCCCTTCGCCCATTGCGTTAACACGTTGCCTAAGTAGATCACTTTAAAAGTCGGATCGTATTCTGTTATGGTAACAGATCTCTGCCTCCAAAATTTTAAATTTGACGAGTTGAAAGCTACCGACATGGTAGATGACATCACACGCGTAACACAGGAGTTTCTAATTCAGGTTAGGCCTAATTGTCAGACCTAGCGTGTCACTCCGACGTCGTACATACGTCGCACACTACTTGCCACATACAACAACACTTAACGTATCCACAAAACAATCACAAATGACAATACCGCCGAAAACTTTTATCTCCGCTCTTCTACTGGTACGCTAACGTCCACGCGTCACCTGTATACCTGCCAGTGACGTCACACTACCTCACGGATTACGCGCTATCTCATTGGTTATCCCGGTAGGTGTTATCCTCAATCCCGAGCCAGTAGTTCGGTGGAATGTTGCAGCTTATCTCGGAAAAATCCAAGCTTTTTTACGACAAAACTCGATAACAAAACTTGAAATCGATTAAATGTATCGAATTATTTATCTTTCAGAATAAGTGCTGTTTATATTTATTTTCGGTAGACGTATCTTAAATAACCCCGTGTTAAATATGATGTCATTAATGTAAAGGCTATTAACTTTCCTCCACGATTTCTACATAAAGATGAAATTAAATATTTCTCAATTTTAGAAAAAAAATATTGCATTTGTCATCAAGAGATTACGCTTAAATTATGCTTAATAATTAATTAAATTTTCAAGCAAACAAATTATGATTAATATAACAATTATGTCATCTTTACGTCACTTACATTAGATGTAATAATAATACAGTTATGAAATGATTATAATTAGAGATTCCTTAAACCTTTTTCTGACTAGGTTGAATGACCGTCTTTCAGAAATAATGGAAGGTTTTTCTTGCCAATAGATGGAGACATTTACTGTAAAGGTAAAGGTTTTTCCGCACACCCTTAAACAGGTAATAAATTATACGTGGGTCGGGTGTATCTATACGGAAGAACTTTAAATGTTAAATATTTAAACGCTTTAAAACGAGTGGGAGATTAAAATCTTAATGTAATCTATCTAAATTAACCTTTCTTCTTCCTTCCGACTACGTTCGAAGAGAAGAGGATAGAGAAATGAGTTAATATTTCTTCGTTCAAACTTCAGCAGTTTGATGGAAGAATTTTGTTTAAAGTAACTTAAAGCAAGAATTTAAGAGAAGTTCACGGAATAAATGTTGATATACTAAAGTTTCTAATAGTAAAATGATATAATCTCCGGAACGTTCAAAGTTTAGAATATATGCTGTATAAATTTACCACTTTTTGTACTTTACACTTGTAATGTACTGTATATCAATATACTGTATAAAACTACACGAAATATACCCCGTTAGCAGTTAAACTTATTAATTTATCTTATATTTTACACGGTACGATTTTAAATTAACTTGTTAAATTAAAAAACAATTTTCATCTAATGTAAATAAAATGATATTAATGTTTATGAAAGCGATATTGAGTTCATTGAACAAAATTTTCCTTTCATTCTTTTCCCCTTTTCAAAAAAAATACATATATATATATATAAAAAAAATAACGATAAAAATCTTTCGTTTGATTTCTCGTTTTCGTGTCATTCATTGTTAAAAAAGATAATAAACCCTATCCCAAACTTATAGTTCAACGACCTGCCTTAATACACATTTATAAAGTTTACAGTTTTATACTTAATCCAACGTGTAGTACTGTAATATATTTTGTAAGCCTTATATAGGGCACACTTCCTCGCGTACAAAGGGCTCGTTTATTCACAGATGGAAAAATTTTCAAACTTTCCTCTATTAAATGTTCGCAACTGTTTAAATACACTGTGTACATTACGTCGAGTCATACGATTTCCTATCTGCCTCGGTATTTTCCTTCAAAAATTCATAAAAAAAATAATAATATATGGAAATTTATGAAGTAAATTTCACAAGCGAACAGCAATAGAAACATTTTCTTATTGTTTTATACGAGAAACACGGGGTTACTCACATTACAATAGTGTAACAAATGTCGTCACCGCCATATTACTGAATCCAAGATCCTATCTTTATTAATTATATTGCACGCTTCAATGAATGTGAAGAATAATGACGTCACACAACAACGTTGACGTAATTTTAATAATAAACATAAAACATTTAAATATTACTTTTATCTCGTGTATTTTTTTTCCTAATAGAAAAATTCTATTAGAAAAAAAGAAATTGCCGTGTTAATTCTATTTTTACGATGATTCTCATTTTTAAAATACAATTAAAATTTCCCGTAATAAAAATAACTGTTTGGATTTATCCTTATTTTGTGGGAAATAACCGATTTCAAATGTGATTTATTGCGTCATGGATGTAGGAAAAACTGAAAGGAAACTAAATCCACTTCGTTTTAACGACATCATAATATATATTAAACACTTCCCAATTAAAAAGCCAAGCTAGGATATTAAATTAAGCTGTAGAAAGCTCCAGCGTGTAGAAGTACGACTACATTTTTTTTGTATTTTTAATTTATAGATTTGTAATTATTTAAAATGCATAAAATTTTGCATTTAAAGTTTATTTTTAGTTAAAAAAATTGCTATAAAATCGATTTTTGCCCATAGTTTATGTCAAATCTACAGCATAAAAAAACATAGGACAGAACATCATTTGCTGCAAAAATCAGCATTCATAACAACCCCTGTAAATAATTGATAGTATTTATGTACGATATTATTACCATTTGCAGACTGATATAATAATAAATCACTGTAAAAATCTACTCTACTATATAATATAGATCTATAAAAAAATCCTACTTTTTGTTTACAGGTCTCTATCGAACTTACTTAGGATTTAAGAAAAAGAACAACAAAAAAAAACACCGTAAGCATAGTTGTTTACTACACAATACTTCTTTTCTATTCGATAAAATTCGGTATTAGGAAAGATTTAAAACGGGAATTTACAGTATCTCCGAATCAGAAAGGATTCCAATAGTTGAAGAAAAAAAAAGGAAATTCACGTCGTTAATCATCACTTTTAGTTTGTATCAGAATATAATCGGTATTTAAAGCAACGCTGCAAGTTATAAATAAAGTATGAATAAAGTACATTCATGTTAGGATCTATAAGGATGCGAATTTATTCTCGAGTAATAATGTTTTCCGAAGAGATAGCCCCGAGACAAGGTGTGCAGATGATTAGAGTAAGACTATAATAATAGTTCTGAAAGTAACGGAACTGTTTTGTAAAACAAGAATGCGGAAACGTTTGTCTATAAAGCGAAAAGAATTAAAAGAAAAAAAAAGAAAAAGAAAAGCATCATTGTCGTTATTTACTGATGACATTTTTTATATTAAAATTCCTAAAAGATTCTATAGTATATCGACTGTAACGTCGTTTTTATCTCTCCGATATGCGCATTAAAAGTAGATTACCATCGGCCCTATTCAATCTTTCCATTGAAAATACCTTATTAATTTTCATTACTTGTTGAATTAACATAATTTACTATAATAATTTTCCAATTTTTATTAAAAATTAGGCATTGGTTTATTGAAAAATGCTGTACTGTATACAGAATTAATAAAATCTATTCCTTCATTATTGTTGTTTCGATCTTTTCTAATAATAATAATAAAAAAAAAAGATGATAACGATATCATTTCAAAATGAAAGTAATTCTAGAATAGAACAATGAATCGGTACCGTAGTTTCATTGCAAAATATAACTGACCCCGGCAATACGGATTGATAATTGTTTAAAGAAATACCACGTTAACTTGGTTCTGATTGGACGAAAATTTGTCTTAAAAACATTTTCACATTCATAATCAGATCAGCACATCAAATTTGTTGACCCATTTAAATTTTTATCGACTTTTTTTTTAAAAAAAATAGTTTCAATTTACAGGGTTATTGATACATTGCATGACACGAAAAATTTGCATGTAGCGAGATGATAGAGAATTTATACCGGAATCACGTAGAAATCGAATCGTTTCGATTACATATGAATAAGTTTTTCAAAGTACAGTACATAAACGATTAAAAGTTCACGTAAACTTGAATTGCGTGTTGTAGTTATAGGTTAATACTATTGAAAGTTGCTTGTCGACATCCCAATGAGCGGAGTCGATTCCTTGGATGGCATGCAAGGTCGGGGAGATCCTAGAAGATTTTCGATAAAAGTCACTTATAACTAATTATTTATTACCTATATATCTATAAAAATGTGTAATCCCGACTGCTTCTCCTCCGATGCAAACGGGCAATGCTCTCCTTCACCCCGTAACTCCGCCCTTGCCAAAAAATTTTCAAAATCGAGTTAAAAATAGTGTTTCAAATACAGTAACCGTGGGCGTAGGAGCAACTATCCAATCACTTGATAAGAAGGCGTATTGACCCCCCGCAACGTTAGCTATTTATCTACTTACTACCGTCATCAAATGATGGCCTCAAGGTCATGGACCCCCAACCGAATAAATTCGAAATCCGAGAATAGTGTTTTTTTCTTTTTGTATTTTATTTCTCTATCTAGAGCAATTAAAAAAAATCAGAAATATAAAAGTTTAATCATTTTATATTATATAATTTGTAAATAAGATAAAGCGTATAGTACTTCAATACTGAATCCCCGTATTTTAGATTGGAGAAATGCCAAAATTGTTATAAATCCAACAAGTTAGATAGATTTATAATTTAATAATACGGATATTTCGAAATAAATATATTTCTTAATAATATAGTGTACTAAAGTAAAAAATATAGTATTTTTCTTTCTTACAGTTTATGAAATCATTCAATAACATTATATGAATAATGACATTTAACATGAATTCCTTGAAGGAAAATATAGTAACGTAGAAGAAAAAAATTTTTTGAATCCATATATAACGGTAAAAAACCACACCCAAATAACGAAATATATTATAACCTAAGATTATATGATCTAAATATTTTTTCATTCCTTAATTTTAATGATCTTGTAACAAATTTCGATAGGCTACAATTCTATCTTCTCTCTTCCTAAATAATAAGTACGAGCCGTAACAGGTTGCAGAATGTGAACTATAATTAGGATAATTCCAGAGTTTGATACATACCCGTCACTTGAAATGCAGACAATGTCAGCTTTGGCAGCCATTTTTTTCTTCCTTTCTTTTTTTTAAACTTCGATTGTTGGTAATTAATGAAATAATAGGGTTAGTGACAAAAAGTAAGTTGAAGTTAAGGCATTTAAGAAACTATTTTCTCATCTTCCAGCTATGTAATTTAAATTTTGTTACGCATTACAATATAAAAATCGATACTATAAAAGGTAATGTTTATTGCCATAGATTTAGTATTCTTTCGTATTCAAAATAATAC